GGTTTTGTTATAGGGTGCACAATGTGCACATACTCTGGTTTTGTGCACGTGCTATGGTTTTGTGCACGTGCTATGGTTTTGTGCACGTGCTATGGTTTTGTGCACGTGCTCTGGTTTTGTGCACGTGCAGGTATTGTTGTTCTGTCAGCATGCACATTACATGTGAGCTATTTTAAGTGGACATATTATTAAATCACTGTGTCAAAATTCGGCATAACGACATCTCAAATGCAGAGCCTGCTGGACGAGCTTGAAATGCTACATTGTATTATTTGGTAAGTTAAATGTGTCCGGAGGTGACGGTCAGCTGCAGTCCCGAAGCAGTCAAGCTGCAGTCCAGCTGCAGTCCAGCTGCAGTCCCGCAAGATTGAAGGGGTTGGTCCTTCCTGGTGTATAAGAAATACTCGCTACATCAATCACTGAACAATTGTGATGTACACCAGTAACTACACGCTGACGTGTTACATGGTGACAATTCGTCCCAATCTCCTGTTAATTTGACAAATTGTAGCAGTGCTGATTACTACATCATAAAACTGGTTCACACTCTAAAGCACACGTGACTCGTGAGGTTATATTTTCAGACACTTATATTTAGTCTCAAGTCTAGTCATTTGAACTGGTTACTTAATCCTTACTTAAAATCTTTAGAAATAACCCCACACCGTGAAAGGTAATAATGTCGGTATGATTTCACATGAAAATGTGAGTTGGATAGTGCCCAGGTAGCAGTGATCAGTGTGATTTGATTAGTATGCTGTAAAGTAAGCGCCCCCCCCCTGATTAGTATGCTGTAAAGTAAGTGCCCCCCCCTGATTAGTATGCTGTAAAGTAAGTGCCCCCCCTGTAAAGTAAGTGCCCCCCCCCTGATTAGTATGCTGTGAAGTAAGTGCCCCCCCCTGATTAGTATGTTGTTAAATAAGTGCCCCCCCTGATTAGTATGTTGTTAAATAAGTGCCCCCCCCTGATTAGTATGTTGTTAAATAAGTGCCCCCCTGATTAGTATGTTGTTAAATAAGTGCCCCCCGCCCCCTTCCCCATCACTGGATCCCATGGTGTGTGGCCTTATGTTATACTGAACACTTACTTACTGTCAGGCTTATCATTGTTCATCATTACAGTTGTTCTTACTGGTCATTAGCTTCACTTCTTCTAACAACTACACTATTAACAGACACACACACATTCAATTACGGTTATAAGCTTGCACAATATACAATACGGAATACTCTTCTGTGTGCAGACTGTAGACACAGAGTAAATAGTATCACGTCCATAGTTACATGCCAGGAACTCCATGCTGATACTACTTATCGTAAGTTTTTACTTTCAACTGTAAGACTGAAAATGTTGACTCCGCCAAACATAAAATGACTGTATCATTGTGTGTGACTGTATGGTTCTTGCTATTTTGCTGAGTCGTGATAACAGTAAATACATCTCCCTCCACCATGATGGATACCATTGTAAACTCTTTTCTATAACTTTAACAACACTAACTTGATGTCCTCGGTCTCACAATTCTCCTGGGAATAAACTCAACAATAAGTAGTGAAACTACTTACTAACTCAACAACATTCACTTTCACTTTCACCGATGATTTAACACGAGAGTCACCCAGATCATGACTCTGGAGAGTTTGCCAACGTTCTCCCCAGGGAATAAAGTTTATCAATTAGTACGGCAACACTTGTCACTACCCTGTCATATCAGCATGCAACACTTGTAGTGCCCAACTCTCTACTTGTACTATAATTCTAGTCGATTCCTCTCACAGTGGTGTTATATTAGACATGGCTTCTGGCTCGGTGGTTTCACTTTTTATTTCACTTTCACTTTCACTACCCTCTCATATCAACATTGTCTTGCAACAGTGCAACAGTGCAACACTGTCCTGCAACGGTGCAACACTGTCCTGCTACTTGCACTATAATTATAGTGAATTCCTCGTACCGCACAACGGTGTTACAATAATTCTATTTAGGTGGTTTCTTTTCAACTCTAGTTTGAGTCTGCTGTATCTGCTGTAGGTATGTCTGCAATAAACGTTATTTGTGGTTTGAAGTGTCTAATATTTTAAAACGATCTTCAATAGACTGTTCATCAGTACTGACAGTGAGCTACAAGGACTATTCTAGTGAATACTGTACCGCGGAATGGTTCTATATTACTAGTGGTTTAGGTGGTTTCTTTCCAGATCTAGTTTCAGTTTGCTGCGGGAAAGATGTCTGGATTTGGCCAAATTTGTGTCTAATGAGTTTTAAAACGATTCGTCTGCATCAGTACTAAATTTCGCAATGACATGGTTGCTAAGTAACAAATATAATGTACTATGTATTCATAGCACCAGATACAGAGTTTCAGAGCCTCACTTCACTAGTTTCATTATCAAGTATTTACATTCTAAACAAGGTGTATCACAAATATTTGGTGTTTGCCAGTTTTGAACTGTAACTAGAGTATCGTATTCTGGGTTTCAATTAGGCGTGGGGGAGGGGGATCTTGAATCCTTACTTCAGCTCTACTTTATGTTAGTAATCCAGGAGGTATTAATTAACCTCAAACTGATAAATTAGCAGTGATCATGGTTTTTTATAGATCGAGTGCACCAGAAGTGCGTCGCCTAAAACCCCTGCAAAAAAATGAACCGTTATTTTTCCTAAATTTTGTATGAATTATAAACAAGTCTGGGCGTGTGTAGGATAAAGACAATGTTTGGCTGGCTCCACCCCGCACACTCCCCAGTTAACCAGTACTCTAGAGTTCTAGAAACCTGATCGTGGAACCAGGTGGCAGACTAAACACTGGGGACGGTAACCCCAAATTACTATCACGTAGTCATGGATTAAATAGCTCCTGGTTTTCAGCAGAATCATGTAATAAAATCGCTCCAGAACATTCTACAGAGTGTATGAGACTTTAACTACAGTTGAGCGGTTCTGAAGGAACTAATGCTTCCCTGACGCTGTGCTGTGTAGTAAAATAATCAACATTCCACAAAGTAATATATCACTGTAACTGTGTTGTTTATATTCACTGTTTACACAAACGTCAGTAGTGTAGAGGTTAAGATCATCGTGTTTACTTAGTGCGCGTGCTTAGTATCACGATTAGAATAATTCATATAGGGGTTGGGAGCCAAAAAGTATGGAGAGAAATGTTCCTTACAATTTCAATGGTTCGAAAACAATAATTGATCATTATTAATGTCATAATGATAAATGAGTCATGAAGATTGAATAGTTAAAAGATAGAACAGAGGTTTAATTTGATAGAGTAATTAGAAGCCCTTTTTGCCATCCAATTTCGTTCTTCAGAACGGATTGCGTGCAACGCTTAAATAGTTTCAGTCAGCTTAATAATTGATGTTTATTGCAATTGTGGCAATGAATTAGATTAAATTATTATAATCATGATACAATTAAATATTAATGTAATATTTATACGTTAACTTTTACACGACTCACATCAGCTGATAGAGTATTACACAGTACACATATAATACAGTACACACCGCATAATATACTATAACATAATATAATAATATAACAAGTTAAGAAACTACATGCTTACTTGACATGTTCTACATTAGCTAAACATTTGTTCTGATAATTGAATTACTCCATATTATCACCATGTTTAGAAGATAAAAACATATTAATAGAACTTATAAGGGAGTTAGAAAACAATATATTAATATACAAATGACATTTTAAAGTGGATATTAAATTATTGCTGGTAGAGAAAGTAACTCTGTCAGAACGCCACTGCATATTGTATACTAGGTGGACCACGACCTTTTCAACCGCTACTACTACACTCCCATTATACCATATACGGAAGAAAAGGGTATATTGATATTCTGAGGCACTGAAAATATAAGTGACCTTTTGTTCCTAAGCTCAACAGTAATCATGGTATTGGATGGTATTGGATAGTAGTATTTCTACCTAGCTTTTGATGATGTCCCTAATGTTTGTCCATAATGTCTGAACTGATATAGAAGTGCATAACTTTGATATTTACTAAGTCTCGCTAAGCACGTACTCGGAAACCGCTAAAATTATTTTTTTTTCAAAATCCCGGCCAGTTTTCAAAATGAACACCACACGCCTCACCACAGATAAAGTTGATTAATTTCACCCCAAATGATATGAAACCCCCCGGCCCCCCCCCTCCCCTGGCCCCCACTTACAAGTAATAACAAAGTATAGTATACAGAGAGAGTGTAGTGTGTACACAGCTGAGCGGAGACACGTTACAATAACCACAGTAGATTTTCCAACAAGCAGTGATTTTAATCTTCACTCTTGAACATTGACATGCTCAGTGTGACACCGAGAGAGGTAGAGAGAGGTAGAGAGAGAGGGGGAGGGAGAGAGAGGAAGGGATATTGCTCTCAACTGAAAACACTATTAACACACGTTATAATATAATTTATATATATTATATATGTAGCTTAGCAGGGTCACTTAACCTTGACATGATCATTGACAGGATATGTCTCGGAATTCTAATAATTTACCTGGATTCTATTTTGTGTAATAACATGTTAAATTTGAGCTCGATTTATTGAGTTGGAACTTCCGCTGCTCATGTAGTTGGCTGGAGATATATTTGAGCACTCTCTGGACATGATTTTAAATCCTTAATTTAAATAAAAGCCACTAATAGACTACGTAAATTGTTGTTCGAGATAGTTCACTTCTTATTTTGACTGGGTCTAAATTAAACACCTCATTTTATTTAATATAATAATTCAACATCTCTTATCACTTAATATGATAAAATATAGAATTTAGAATTACAAAATTATCCAAGTTATATTCAGTCGCATAATGTAATATTTCATGTTATCATCTCACCTCAAAATGTCCTCAAATGCAGAAAATTTAAAACATTGATACTCCAAATTCAATATAAGTGAGCTCGGGAAAACAATCTAACGAAATTGTAACCTCGATTTAAAAAAGAGTCCTAACGGTAATTCTATTTTCAGATCCAGTGTTCTTCTCAACAAGACGCACAACAGCGCATGTGTTTTGAGAATGACTTCAAGATCAGTTCCGCCCTTCCTCCTCACCCTAACATCACAACTTCTTACGCCAGGTAATTTGGTTTTACACTTAGGTTCACAGTTGGGGCGGTGGTATGGTTACAGGGTTACATCATGCCTGATGCCTTACACTCAGTGTTGCAGTTGATGTTACAGGTTTACAGTGTGAGTATGCAGTACGATCAACTTATTGTTACAGCTTACACTTAGTGTTATTCTTATTGTTACATCGAGGTGTAGCACCATTCCATTCCAGCATTTCTTATGAATGATCTCATTCATTAGAGTAGTATAGACTGTGATTAAGTTTATGGTTTCGTCAAGGGTACTTAACTGCATTATAAGACGCAGAATTCTGTCCGGTCACTGGCTGAGATCTTTTAGAAACTTCTGACTAAAACATGGTCAAAATTGTAATGTTTAATGTTCGGAGGAATCTGAAAAATAACGTAGATGGTTTTACAGTTTTGTTGATTCCTGAAGGGGGAATTTCGAGTCCCCCTTTGTTGAGGTCACTAACTCGTAACTATAAATTTTTGTGGTATCTAAATTGTAGAGAAGGGCCCCTTCATCGGAGTCATTTAATTACAAATATTTGATAATCCCCAAAATGCTTTTAGGTTTATCATATTTGATTGAAAAGTTCCTTTTTGATCCAATTCTGATATTGTTCCAAGTAGCCACAATACTTGATATCAAATTAAACAATTACATTAAGAAATTACAGAGAGATCACTAAATTGTTCCGTGACCATATTGCTCAGCACAAATTTCTTTGTAATTTCTTTTGAATAGGGAAATCCACACTATGTACCCATATCACGTTTCAACCCTTTTAAACTTTCTTTTTCAACATTAGATATTACTCTTGCTTTAGTTTTTCAGTATTATAACTCGAAGTCAATTCATTTCCAATTTTATTACCCAAATCTTTCTCCCTTTCATTTTCACTAACCCAATTTTGAACCAGGTTTTCGGACAAAGTCCCTGAAAATCTCCCTGATTTTCCGTATGACGCAGCCGGAAGGACCGACTCTACCTTCGTTATCTCCGATTTCCTGTCCGAGGGAAATCTTCGGAGTTTCGTCAAAGAAAATCAGCACTTGTTGGAACACAGAGTAAGTGTTACCTTATTCTAATTACAATTCATACATTTAACCGTTATAAGGTTTTTGCCGCGGTTTTTTGCCGGTCTAAAGTAATCGGAAATAAGCATGAAGCGAGCAGAAGGTTGGTTTATCGTCATAATTCAAATTATCTGGGGTGGATTACAACAAATTCATGGGGCGTGTTCTTGGTATTTAATTCTATACATCTGAAGATAAGGGCCCTTATCTTACACTACACTCAGTTTCTTTAATTAGAAATATTTTAAAATCTTAGGCTACTGTACAAGTTTTCTAACAGTTTGCAAATCCTAGACTAGGTTTCTTACAGCGAGTTTTTACAAAAAAAATTGAGTGTAATCTGATAACCTAGAAATGGACCTTAATAAACTCATCTTTTAGGTTGAAGAGTACGAGTACGAAGTTTGCCTCCTGTTACTTCAACTATTCAGAGCCTTACATCACCTTCACGAGAATAAGGTAAATAAATAACGGACAACATTATTATTTACTTTCCATTATTTTACTAATCTGTTTGTTAATGTTTGTTCCACTTTTCTGAAAGGTCTACTACCCAAGTTCAATACGGAGTATCATTATTTTAATGTAACTTGTCGAGAGTAAATATACATGGAATATTTGTCGTTGCATGAGTACAAATATGTTGTGCAGTCACGCATTACTACATGTCTACTTGTTAAGTTAAAGCTTTTAAAACCAGTTTCAACTCACGATACTCACGATCCAGTTAGATATTGGCCATTGCTCATGCTCTCGTTGTGATATCAAAGAGATGGAAGTAGCACTTTCGTTTCATTAAATTTCCATATTCCAGGCTGTTCACCGGGACTTGAAGTTGGAGAACGTCTCAGTGGGAGCTGCTGATCACCCAGGAGGTGGAAAGAGACTGTCTCTGTGTAACTTTGGGTACTCCCTCTACCAACCTGAGAAATCGGAGCCGTTCATTGTGAACCCTGACGATAGTAACACATGGTTAGGTGGGAATATCCCCCATTTACCTCCAGAGATTCTGAACCCCTCCGAGGAAATCACCGAACTTGACTACACTAAAGCTGATGTGTTTGGGGCTGGTTGTATGATTTACGAGATGCTTAACCTGATGAACCCGTTTGAGGGAGATGATAGTCTGATCAAGAAAGTGTATTCTCAATCTGACTTACCGCTGATCCCCAAGAGATCTAGATATTCTTATGCTCTAGATAGACTGGTTTGTCTGCTACTCAGACACAAGCCATCGAAGAGGATCTCCGCTAAACGAGCTGGTGATCTTGTAGAAGTTATGCTTTGGGGCCCAGAAGAATTACGGGTAAGATTTTAATAATTTTACTTAGAGAAATTCCATGGTTGTGGGACACGGGAGAAAAAATGAAAAACGAGCAGTAACACGCGGTCGACTTTGATTGTACTCGAGGGTGAACCGCGCTGCAGCTTTTGCCGCGCGTTTTTCTAGCGCGCGCACAATTAATTATGCATGCATCTTATCCGTTATAATACCTTCCGGGAATTATATCCACTAAAACTCGGGGACACCGAGGGCTGATAATTTGCTCATTTTTCCCGCAAGAGAAGCGAGGGTATTATCAGCCCAGACTCAGACTGGCTGGCGGCAAGTTTCAAAACAAATAACACTGGCGTTCTATATATTAGACACTATATTGTATGATGCGCACGTATCGGATTACACCCCTTCTGCAATCGGAACCGGAACGTATTATAAAATATAATACCTCCGCAACTTCGTGCCCGCAAATTCCCTCCAGCAAGCTGTCGGGAATTATAGCGCGCAGCACTCAGTGGCGGAGGTATTATAGTATTATAACGTTTAGTTATTCACACCACATGCATGATAACTCCATTGTCCATTTTAATTATATTTTAACAATAGCATCATTAAATCAATACGGTGTCATTGCTGTTTGCTAAAAGTGGCAATGGTCGAAGGAAACCAGTACCTACGTACTACTTACATACTTGACGATCACCATGATTTATGAATGTGGTTCCTTAAACTAGGTCATTCCACCCTTGGAATAATTACTTCCTGGAAGATTAAACATTCACTAAATATTCCAATTTCAGGGTTCTGACAGAGCAGCAGCTGAACAGATGGCCGCTGAATGGCTCGAACAACAACGCAGTGAGATTCTCTCCAACCTCGCTCTGAAGCTCGCTGAAAACTTCACACCTCAGGGTTCTCGTGTGCAGAACTCAGCCGGCTTCTCACTCGAGGACGAACTTAAATGCAAATTCCTGAGGGAAACATCGGCCCGAGCTCTTACCACTAATTTGTACCTCTTATCCCAATGCCAGCGTGCACAACAGCGTGGCTTATAGTTCATACTGTCTCCTTTATCTACAAAGTGTTCATCCATTTTAGGATGGAATTGTGAAATCTGAATCGTGAGATTTCCAACGAAAACGAAAAGCCAGACGTGCTAAAAACCAAAGCGAGAGTTACTACATTGAAAGACTCTAGATATAGAGATATCGTGTTCGTTGCGGTAAAAACTATTCGTGTTCTTAAGACTAAGAGAACAGTTCGGAGAGATCATGTGTGCCTGCATTCGTTTAGATGGGAACTTAGATTGATAGCTCATTTAAGTTTAATTTTATTATATGATGATTAATATTTGTAGAGAATATTACTTTTATAGTTTTGTATCATCGAAAAACGGGTGTTAACTATGAAAAGTTGATTGATGGATTATTAGGATTCACTATGGACATGGTAGTACTTATGGCTGGGTCGTTATCGGCTACGACTACAGAGGAATATTTTTTCTCATCCTGTCTGGTCAAGACTGCGTCATTTTTGTTCCATGTTTTATCTAAATCATGTGATAGTGTAGGTCTAGGTTTTTAGCCCAAGCATGCGCTATAGATTTTTGTTTGATGAGATTGCATATAAAATTCGGAATCACTTTTGTTTTATTATGCATTTTTATTAAAGAAAAGTATCCTTTAATCGTGCATTTTTGTTTGATAAATAATTTGTCGTTAAGCTATGGCCGTGTCACTGTTACTTGTTTCTTCTTGATTCCTAATTTGAGGATCTTAGTTTAAACATGTTTCTATATCGTACGTAGCTCACTGACTATGGCGCTGTGTATTTGATTATAAGTCACTCAATCGCGGTGACTTCAGAATTTGTAAATTGTTTTGTGAATTATTTTACTGTAAACTGTGGTTTTCATGACTCCCTTTCTACTTCTAAGCCTGTAATATAATTGTAGTACAAGTATCCATTATCTCTTTATATCCAACAAAATGGTCTGTGTTTTTACGTTACCATGACCACCATAGCAACCTGTGACCTGGTGACCAGCTAGTCTGAAGCTCTGTTCGAGAGTTTATAAAGCGCCCTGGGATATTGGCTAACTAAGAGTATCTCTTGGCGATTGTAGTTTCCATCCATATTAACCATCAATGACACTGACCAAGTCAATAGGAACAAGAGCAGATTTTCGGCTGGTCCATGATTCTCGATACGACGGATGACACCACACTTACCTTCGAACGGGTTCATCATGTTCGAGTAGATATCAGTGTACGTTTCAGAGTGTAAGTAATTCAGACGCTGTATCAGTTCTTTACGATATCTGTTCCAAGGGAGCATTGAGCAATCAAGAATCACAAATTTAATCGTCTGGTTACGTTTTGGATGTTTTTACGTTTGTTGCTCCAGATATCGCATCAAGGCAAAGAAAGTGTGAGGATTTAGGATGACGTTCTGAATGATTTCAGCTTTACCTCATACTGTTAAGTGTTGTAAGCAATTGTTGTATCATTATTATTAAACTTATGGGTAGTCTAATTTTCACGATCATATCTTGAGCGACATTAAAGTTAATCAAAAACTTAAATAATAATATAATAATATTTAATCCCAAAAAGAAAGAACAAAACAAGTGGCGTAGAGAAAATAGTGCTAATTATAGTTATTTGGAGAGATGATAGTAACTATTTATAGTATAGTCCAGCGTCCCCCACACGTGAACTTATACAGTTATACTGACCCCCAGTCTTAATACAAGATCCTTGCAGCATTTTAGTTCCTTCTGTTCAGACAAATCTTGTCTTCCTCGTTTTCATTATCACATACAGGTCTGAAAAGGAATGAATTTAGTATGCATTAAGTAATAAATATTTGAATATTTAGGAGAGATTTACAGAATATATACACTAGAAGTGTGAACTAATTTCGTATTTGAATGCTTTACAACGCAATCCAAATGTCTTCTCCTCCTTTGTGGAAGTTTTTAGTTAACTGGTGCCTGTATCTAAACTTAAAGCGAAAGTGAAAGTTTCTTGTTAACTCAAACTGTTACCTCTATCTAAAGTGAAAGTGAAAGTTTCTATTACACTTGTATCTAAAGTGTCTCTGTAGTGTGTCCTCGTGACACTTCAAACTACGCTTAGTTTCTGTCAGCTCCTCCTGGGTGTTGGTGAGGGAAGTATTGGTTTCTGTCAGCTCCTGCCTGGTGCTCTGAAGCTCCTCCTGGGTGTTGGTGAGGGAAGTATTGGTTTCTTTTAATTCTTGTTCCGCCGTGTTAAGCCTTTCTTCAATCCGTCTCAGTCTTTCGTTGGGGTCAGGAACTACGGAGCAGTTTGTAGGGATCTCAACCACATTTCCAGTTCGTTGCTGCGACATTATATTCTCCCACTTGAAAAGTCTATTTGAGTTGAGTATCTCCTCTTCAGAAGAACACATGTCAGAGGCCATTGCTCTTATCTCTGTAGAGGTGAGTACCCTGTTGAAAATGTTCATCTTGAACAAATCTCCGCCAAAAATGAACCTCGACGCCACCACCTCATCAGCTCTATTCCCCAGACTCATTTTACCTCCGGTCTTTATTTTACTCTGTTTCGTGATTCTAGACCCAACTTTCTCACCGTTGAAGTAAGCAGCGAGAATGTAGCCCCCCCATGTCCAGCAGAAATGATACCACTCATTTACTGGGGCAGTGAACTTACCGATCAGACTGAGATTACTACTGACTACCTCGTTCCAATGTTCACCAGCTTCTAGATAAATGTGAGAATGGCTGGCGACGTAGTAATTTAGTACAACCGGGTTGGACGTCTCACTTCGCCTCTTAATCCAGGTGCAAATTGAAATTTGTGTTGCAAATGGGCTCATGTCTGGGTTCCATTGTATTTTGTCACCCTGACCATCCCCAAAACTTAATGCACTGTACTTCTGTTGTGCTGGAGAACAGCCCACTCCCAGGAGAAGCGTGACAACAACCACTAGAATCATTTAGAGAGAAATACTGGACCTAGAAATACTGTTCGAAGAAATAAAGGAATAAATAAATTTCAGTAGTTAACGTTTGTTTATAGTTGGTCCTGATTTTATTATCATGTATGTGAAACAAAAAATCTAAATCTAAATCGTAGAAATATTCCATTGTTTGATAACGTTACAAAGGACATGTTAGAGGCGTCAACCTCAATTCTATTCATAGACTGGCATTTATGTCTTTAATATTGAGATGATTAGAAAAATTCAATTGTCTTGCTTCAAGAAAATAGCTTCAAGGTTTCGGTGACCAGGTGAAACTTGAAGTTCATAGTGACTTCTTTAGACCTTTAATGTCCGTATTACCCAACAACGCCTTTAAAGATGACCTGTACTTTATGTTTAAAGACGACTTCTATTTAAATTAGGATTTAAAATTTTGGCATATTACCCAACAATTTAAAGGTCACCTTTAAATTTAAAGCCGACCAAATTTTTAGTCAAAGACGACCTTAAAATTTCCATTATTTTGGTATTCCCCAACAAAGGTCCCCTTTAAAAGATCGAAGAGCTCAAAAAACCGGTTTAACCAGTAATTTTGGCGCGTTTTATATTCACTTCCCAATTACATCCAGGTTTCCTCATAGTGAACTTCCTATATCGATGTCATTTGTAACCATTTCTGTGCTTGTTTTGTCAAATACTTTGCTCCAGTTCAATCAATTTGTCACTTTTTGGATTGCCCCTGAAGTGAGAAGTCATAATGAGTAGTATTGTCAGCATAACCGATATTGTGGCAGTTGAAGAGCTCGCTTCACGTCATGCTAGACGATCACGAATTTACAGACCTGTTCGTGATCGCCGTAACCCTTTGCTGGAGTACGATGATGTTGAGTTTTTCCGGCGCTTCCGCATGCATAAGGACGGTTTTCAGCACGTGTTTTCTCTTGTTGAGTCTAAACTTAGGCATCATCCAACGAATAGGAATTCTCCGATACCGAAAGTTCTTCAGCTAGCAATAACTATTAGGTGCTACGCTAACGGGGATTTCCAAATAGGTAATGGTGATTTATTTGGTGTCAGCCAGTCGTATGTATCCAAAACAGTTCCACGAGTCTCTCAAGCTATTGCGTCTCTATCCGCGGATCTTATCAAGTTTCCCTCCGGATATTATCTTAAAGAGGTTCATAACTTCTTCTTAGACTATTCAAACTTCCCTGGTGTGTGTGGTGTGATAGACGGCGTGCATATACCAATCCAAAGCCCAGGTGGTAAACAGTCCGAACTCTATAGGAATAGGAAAGGTATTTTCAGCATCAATTGTCAGGTGGTATGCGACCACAAGCATAAGCTAACTAATGTGGTTGCTCGGTGGCCAGGTAGCGTTCACGACAGCAGAATGTGGAGCAATTCGCAGTTGTGTATGGAATTTGAGAGCGGGAGTCATGAGGGGATTTTGTTGGCTGACAGTGGCTACCCACTATCCCGACAAGTTATGGTGCCATTCGATTATCCGTGCAGCGACAGGTTCAGGGGGCGATTTAACAGAGCTTTATGTAAAAGTAGAGTTTTTGTTGAACAATCAATCGGAAACTGGAAAAGGCGTTTTCCCATATTATCTAAACAAATGAGGTGTAAGGTTGATACAACGTTAACTATTATCGTTGCTACTGCTGTTCTTAACAACATCTGCATCGATCTCAAACAACCAGTTCCAGGAGGAGATGCCCCAACAGGAGAAGGAAACTGTTATGACGATGACCCTTTTCAGCCTGGTAAAGATTTTATGTTTGATGGGGAGGATGTTCGAGATGTGATTGTTAACCGATTTGTTTGATAACAGTATATTACTATTAAGCTATTAACGATGAAATATTTTCTTCTAGTCCTAGTACTTCAAAATGTTCAAAATGTACTTTTATTTTTGCTAGAATTAAAATGCGTGCCAAAAATAAACTTGATTTTCTCGTTCATTTGTATTATACCGATGACCCTATTTATTGAACATACTTTTTCATATCCTTGTTTTTAATTTCTGCGTCTGCTCAATCTATCTACACTACATTTGTACTTCAGAAAATGCAATATGTTATAAAGCTATAAATTGCAAAGTTATTTCATTCTACTTTTTATCTTTATTTACTTACAATAATACATATTGATGACGTAGCATATTTGATAAAAATCATCTTGCAGAGACCATGGTAGACATAGCCGATTCAGAGGAGCCCCTGTTTATTGTTGGAAATAGAAAGAAGCAGCAAATTAAAGGTGAAGACAAGAAAGGTAAAGAAAGGACATCAAGAGGGAAGAAATGGAGTCCAGAAGAAACACGTTTTCTCATAGACCAAGTCGATAAAAAACGCCATATTATTGAGTCGAAAGCAACTAACCGTGGCTTTAAGGAGCTGAACCTTAAGAATGAAACTTGGCAAGAAATATGTTTGGCCCATAACAACAAAATAGACTTCATTCCCCGAACAGTTCAGAGTATCAAATCGAAATGGGACAATATGAAAACTGACTGCAAGAAGAGAAGTGATGACCTACAGAAGCACCTTAAGAAAACAGGTGCAGCTCCTGACAGCAGCTTGAACCTTACAGCCCAAGAAGAGAGAGTTTTGGGCATAATGAATGTGGTGAAAACTTCTCTTCAAAACCCGTTCGACGATGACTCTGCTTGCTCGTCAAAAACCTACAGATGCAGTTCAGCACCTGCTGTGCAACTGCAAGAGAGTGAAGATAACGACTCCACCGATAGTAGAGCTGACAGTAGAGCTGACAGTAGAGCTGACAGTAGAGCTGACAGTAGAGCTGACAGTAGAGCTGACAGTAGAGCTGACAGTAGAGCTGGTCAAGAGGAAGACATCGGGTCAGGAGACGACGAGATAGAGATTGTCGCCGCAGAAGGATCGAGAAGTAGGAGCACAAGCATATTACCAACTCCCACGCCTGTAAAACGGAGGAAAGTTGGAAATGCTAAGCTAACGAGGGAAGATCTGGACAGAACACAGATGGAAATCTGGGAGTTGCAAAAACAGCAAATGGCAGAAAAACACCAAGCCTATCTAGACACCCTTGACCACATTAAAAGTGTTATAAGTATGAGTAGCTCATGGAAGTCTCAATCGAGTCTAGCTGATCAACCTGAGCAGACTGCTCAGCCTGATCAGCTAGACTCGATTAGGACTGCCATGAGCTGGATTGCCAACCTGGACACTGTTGAAAATCTTGAACAACTCTAAAAAGTAATTGTAAAGTATGAGAGTAGTTTACAGATGGAATTAGAGGAGATTAGGACTGATTTTATTGGTTAGGAGAGATGATTTGATCACTATCGGACAAAGGATTTTAATTTATTAATTTTGACATAAATGTTGTCGCACATGTTCAGCGTTCTTTTTGCTTCTATTTTCTGAAAGTGTCAGACTCGTTAGTGACTCGTTAGTGACCCACTGACCCATTAGTTTTTAGTTGCAGTTAGTGCTCGTTGTAAGGGGTTTATTTTAGCTCGGTTTTGACGTATAGAAAAAGAATGTAAAATAAGTAATCTTATTATAAACTTATCTTATTATAAACTTATCTTTTATCAAAGCAAAAAACTGCATTTGATTTTGCCCAAACATTTCGAGGACATGGGTTAAAAGGTGATCTTTAAATTTAAAGCCGACCTAGAGCTCACTTTAGAATTGTGCCTTTTAAAGACGACCTTTAGACCATTTAAAGCTGACCTCATCTTTAATTTTGTTGGGTAATGTCGTTTAAAGGTCACCTTTAGAGCTCGTCTTTAATTTTAAAGGTGAGCTTCAAATGTTCGTTGGGTAATACGAGGTCGTCTTTAAACCGTTTTAAAGTCCACCTCGTCTTTAAATTGGCTTTAAAGACGACCTTGAGCGTTGGGTAATACGGACATTAGTTATATTAGCTAGACGGAACGTTACGGAGCGTCACGTGAATAATGAAGTCTTTATATTAAGAGGGTGGGGTCGAGGGTACACTTCTTCAAATTTTTATAGGATATTAAGGAGGGGGGTTTGGTTGCAACAAGGATTATCAGTGTCAAAAAGCATGACACTGTCATGCTTTTTGCCTTCCAAAGAGTCAAGAAACCGATCAAGGTTTTTAAGATTTCATCAATAATGCGATTATTTCACAAAGACCGTTATGAATCATAATATGATCCAGGAGTTGACAGTTGACAGTTGACAGAGTTGGGATTATAGGATAGGCTATGAGTATGAATGATGATATTGCTGTGGTCCCTGGGATAGATTATCGTCCTAAAGCTACAACCTACAGAGTAGTCCTAATTGCTCAAGTTTGCTGTTCAGTACATTGTGTAACACTGGGATACATTTAAAATTAGGAAGTATTTAGGACACGTCTGGCGTCTGCTCTGGTAGGGGTCGATACTATAAATGTGAAAACTACACTACACAATTTTGGGACAGACGTTCGCGTTTTGTATGTATAAATATTTCTACTTTTATTTCGACCCAAATTATTACAAAATATCTTCGCGGAATTGTAACTAGAACTGCAGTTTTACGGAAAGCTCTAAATGCTCAATAAATACCCTTGCAGGTACCACCCGTATTCACACTCAGTATTGAGTCAGGTAATTTTCCGATACGAGATTCGGGACGGGTTCTATAAGTATAACCAACCAACCAACGTTTGTTGCTAACTATGCACTCTTAATCCAAATTCTGTTTCATTGTCATTAAACATAATCAAAGCTAAAGCATTTGAAGCATACTTAAAGCCATCTGCATGTTCCAGCATACAGCAATAGGTAGGTACAGCGACAAAATTAGTTTCTGACTTTACGTCTAGTAGTAGTACAAGCTACTCAACTCGGATTCACGTACTTTATAGCTCGACACGCACTATAGTTCGACAACGTAAGTTCGATAGATATATCACCCCTGTCGAACTTCAGTACGTGTCGAACTAGAGTCCAGGTAGCGTACTCTAGTTCGACAAATAGAGTCTGCTTGTGATCCAACGGCTATTGCTGGGTCCTCATCATAAGATCACAGGGTTCAGTGGCAGATACACATTTTTCTGACATCTAGCAACCAGCGGTTAGAAATCCCAGAACCTTTCAGTTTCAGTATAGTTTTAATTATCCTGTTTGCCACTCGGTTCTGGTCTAGCTAACAGAAAAATTTCAAGATTGATATCCTACTGTTACCGGTTCAGCAGCCAAATCTCTAGACCGGTACTCGCGCGTCGGTTACTACTACTAGTCGTTTGTGATAATATAAAGTGTGGTATGTGGTAGATATTTATATAGCGTACTCTACAATCTAGAAGTAGATCTATAAAACGGAGTACGAGTTACCACGATAGTCTTTTATCTCTCTTTCATTCTGCTAACTAACAATTGAGTCTGAGGTCGACTGTTGAACTAGAGTTTTGAAATTTCAAGCAACGATCCTTTACAGCTTGAAATCTAATTGTTTGTTTGTTTTCCACTTGTCTCATGCTGTTCAACTATGTGTGAATTTGATCTCTATTATCCATATCTATAAACATTTGATTGACCTAAGACTCAAAGGTAGTTAGCAGAATTGTAGACCTAGCGGAGAGATAAAAGACTATCATGGTAACTCGTACTCCGTTTTATAGATCTAGATTGTAGAGTACGCAGTCGAACCTTAGGTTTGTCGAACTAGAGTGCGTGTCGAAGTGCGTGTCGAACAATTGAGTACGTGTACCTCAACCTCCTAATCTGAAATGGACTATCACGATAGACTACCGCTGTAGTCTACGAAAGATACTGATACACCTATTGCAGTATCGGCCTTTCTGAACGTCAAAACATATTAGACTTCAATTATAACTCGGGCCCGACACGCTTCGGCAGTCAATTATTGGTTATATTGAGGTATTCACAGATTCGGATTTTGGAACCATAAACGGTACAGCTATTTCTTCAGTCATGTGAAAAAACCTGATGACATTTAAATCACTAGTAGTAGTTGATAACGTCATTAAGTTTAATGTTTTCATACTCTCTTTCTGACAGTGACAAACTTTGATTAAGACCATTTAAAAAATTCAACCCTTAATTCCTACCTATACAATTGTCGATTTTCAAATGTCATAGAATTGTTCCGAAACTTAGCAGGCACAGTCTAGACATTATTTAGAACACTGAGGCCTAAGGCCCGGTTAGAATTTAAGTTAGTCTCTAGTCGAATAACTTTGTCACAAATAACTATTAACTGGAAATATTTTCTTTTGTTTCAAGCATTACCTTACAATTATTAGAACAGCAGATTAGCCTTCAGACATACTGAATGTAACAATTCACATCTCATCCTCACAATAGTCTAAAATGATGCAACGAAATGTCTGTTGAAACAATGAAATTTCGTATTTGAATTTGGGTCATTTTCAAACCATTCTTAGACCATTTCAGACGGCTTAAATCAATAACCGGCTTGTTCCACAAAGTAGGAGTATGAATAAATGAAATATAATACCGGCGTCTCTTGTAGAACAATAAATGTAAGAAGTGATGACCGGCAAACCCTGCGGATTTGTCAAACTAATCGCGGTTTTTAACAAAGTAAAGTCTGTGCCGATTGTCACAAGGTTTTCCATGCCCCCTCCACCATTCATCATTTGTTGTGTTATATGTGTCTTAGTCGATTCCTGTTTCTTTCAGCACGAGTAATGAATACTGCTTCCTCATCCTGTAACGGAATGATGTTCTTTTCCATTTACACTTCGGGTGAAGTTAAAAGCTATGTTCAACAATTTGCTTCTTTGAACAAATTCTCCCCTAGTCCTACTTCAGCCACTTAATAAATCTAGCGATGGATCCAATTTTCATTTGTCAAGATTCGTAAGCAATAAACTGGAAAACTTTGCGCATTATATTGTTGACTTGATGATCTGATTTGTAAGCTTTCCATAAATATGATCCCGTCCTAATTCCTTTATTTCTCAAATGACCAGTTGCAGTGTCATCTTTTTGGTACCCTGGCCCTATTATCCAAAGGTAGTAATGGAAAGAAATTCAAAATGTGTTCGTATAGGGTCCTGGGTGAGTATTGGCACTGAGTATTATGATTTGAGATAACTGATTACAAACCATAAATTCATTTATTTGGGACTTATTAGTGTGTCTGCCGTCTGGGCTAAAAGAAAATTTATGTTCATAAATTATCTACACCGCAATTTTGATAATAAGTATAGACAACAAAAATTAGCATTGCAGACATTGCGAATTTTTACTGTCAGGACATCGCAAATTTAATCGAGCAACGGAGCATATCCCTCGAACGGGACTCCTGGCTACGACGATCGGTAACATATCCCAAATTGAGTGAGAACAGACGTTTCGGTGCTAAGGTTGCACTCAGACAACAATAATGATTTGGCAAGGCGTAATTTTTCTTAATTAAATAAAATTTTGATCAACGTTCTTTATGGTACTGAAACCCAAACTCAAACCGAGTCGCCCAAATCGTGATATGCTCAATAATGCGAAGCGGACTGGTGACAGGGGCATCACTCAATTACGCATACAGAAAAAGTAAAAAACGAGACAGTTAACCCAATGCCATGGTTAGTTGTCACGTTGAAAAGTTCACGTGTTTTAGCACTTATTGGAACAAAACATGCGAAATTCGGACATTGCAGGCTCAAAGAATTTCAATTTGCGTAACGACGATAGTTCACAAGTCTCTATTAGTTCTCTACTCAAATTCAATTACACTGTCAACGAAGCAATTATAACCAAATTTCGGAGAACCACAGTTCTCGACCTTGAAGTTTAAACGGACACAAACTCAATTTTGAAGCCAGCGAATAAACTGAAACTGTGGTTCTCACGTGAGCTACTCAGGTTCTCTTCGACCAATCACAGGTATAAATGAACTTAGACCTGAATGTTTTTGGAGTTAGAAAATAACAAGTGCGATAAAAAAAGGGACGTTTTAGAAACACAGCAATTAACAAAATGATTTTAGACCGTTTTTCTAAATCAAATCAGTTTCAGAACAGCTGGGTACATGATAAGAACAAATACAATGGTCTCAGTTTTGGTATTTTTATTATACAAATTTTTGTTTTCTGTGCTTTTCTTTTTTTTAAATTTTTTATAAGAGTAATGATGATATTATAATAGGGTTCAACTTTATAAATGCCATATTATGCCATATTATGCCATATTATCCCATTTATAATACCTTCCGGGAATTATATCCACTAAAACTCGGGGACACCGAGGGCTGATAATTTGCTCATTTTTCCCGCAAGAGAAGCGAGGGTATTATCAGCCCAGACTCAGACTGGCTGGCGGCAAGTTTCAAAACAAATAACACTGGCGTTCTATATATTAGACACTATATTGTATGATGCGCACGTATCGGATTACACCCCTTCTGCAATCGGAACCGGAACGTATTATAATACTATAATACCTCCGCCACTGAGTGCTGCGCGCTATAATTCCCGACAGCTTGCTGGAGGGAATTTGCGGGCACGAAGTTGCGGAGGTATTATATTTTATAATACCTTCCGGGAATTATATCCACTAAAAGTCTCGGACACTGAGAGCTGATAATTTGCCGATATATCCCGCAAGGGAAGCGAAAGTATTATCAGCATAGACCTCAGACTGGCTGGCGGCAAGTTGTAAAACAAATAACACTGGCGTTCTATATATTAGACACTATATTGTATCATGCGCACGTATCGGATTACACCCCTTCCTAATCGGAACCGGAAAATATTATAAAATATAATACCTTCCGGGAATTATATCCACTAAAACTCGGGGACACCGAGGGCTGATAATTTGCTCATTTTTCCCGCAAGAGAAGCGAGGGTATTATCAGCCCAGACTCAGACTGGCTGGCGGCAAGTTTCAAAACAAATAACACTGGCGTTCTATATATTAGACACTATATTGTATGATGCGCACGTATCGGATTACACCCCTTCTGCAATCGGAACCGGAACGTATTATAAAATATAATACCTCCGCAACTTCGTGCCCGCAAATTCCCTCCAGCAAGCTGTCGGGAATTATAGCGCGCAGCACTCAGTGGCGGAGGTATTATAGTATTATATGAATTCATATTAATTGTTCTTTTCCGGTACCATCCTAATGATATGCATTTAATTTTAATGTTATTTTTGTCGTTGTGCATGATACAAAACAAATAGAACTGTTCTGTTGCACTTTGCATTTTGCATACAATTTTTGTCATGTATAAATGAAGCTATTGTAATGTTAATAGATTTTCAAGGTTGTTAACCTTGTTGAGGCTTGATCATACATAAAAGTTGCAACAATCGAAGTCAATACAACAAAAGTAAGTTAGCATCAGTTGTCAAAAAATGAAATAAATCTAAAAGCAAAGTTGCCAAAAAAAAATGTAGGCTGTGTTACTGGGCGGCGCTCAGCCTGTCATTCCGCCGAATCTATGCATATGTTTATGAACATAATAGCCTGGGTCCCCAGGTAAAGGTTGAGTAGCCTAAACATCAGTATTTTGGACAATTGGATAAAATGAACAGTGGCAAAAATTCTAATTGTATCGCCTGGTCGATACCATGGATCGCAGTGGTTACTTCAACAATTTACAAATACATGATATGTTATAATTCGACACTAATTGCAAAATAATTATTCAGATAACATTAAGAAGGCTCAATTCCTAAATTTGTACTTGAAATTTAAATTATAGCCCTGCTCAAGTTTCGTTTTAGGTGCTTTCTGTATTGTGCGATTAAACGAGAACGTGGACGGTTTACATTTGACATTGTAAACAGAAATCTCGAATCATTCGCTTATTTGATTATCATATTCAATTTCAATATTGAATATGTTATTGTAAAGTATATCTCTCTTTACTTCCTTCTTTTCCTTGTATGTAGTTGGATTCCTTGTAGTTTCGGCTTTCTTGTTACTTTTTTACAACTTTACTGCTAAACAGTTGCTATCAGTGCTTTAGCTTTTCACTTATACAAATTATGCAAATAAAAAATACAATTATGCCCAGGTCGGTACACCGGTCGACATGGAGGGAACCCAACTGGTGACTAAAGAACATGGTAATGGTATGTTACATGACACTAACAGCAAAGAACCCAACGTATTGGACAGCATTGACAGAGAAGATAAGATAAAGGATCCTGATAATGGTATCAAAAACTGCAGCGTAACCCTCTTGTTGGCCATCTCGGCTACTGTTCTCGGGGGAGCCTTTCAATTCGGGTTTGCGATTGGGAATGTAGCGAACACCATTCCAATAATAAAATCCACGTTCAACTCAACAGATCTGTTCATCAGTGTCTTCGTCAGTGGTAATCCAATTGGTGGTCTTTTTGGAGCTCTACTAGCTGGCTATGTGGCAGACAGTATCGGAAGAACCAAAAGTATGATCCTGAACTTTGTACCGTTTTTGGTGGGATGTGTCCTCATGTCCACCGCACCGAACCAGTACTTCTTTTGGTAGGACGGATTGTAGTAGGATTTGGAGTGGGAATAGGGTCGGGCCTGACTAATATATTTCTGTCTGAGATCTCCCCCATCTCCATTAGAGGTGGTGTAGGTATGCTGTACGGGACTGTTTTGACTATTGGAACCCTCGCATCCTATCTTCTTAGTATGCCCCAGGTTATCGGAGATAATATTGGGTGGCGTGTCTTCTTTGCTGTCCCACTTCTCCCAGCACTGTATCAAAGTGTGGTCCTATTCTGCTGCCCTGAGTCACCACGTTATCTAGCGTTCAATAAACAGAACATTGTTGCAGCAAAACACGCTCTTGCACGATACCGTAGAGTGCTACCAGAAGAAGAAGCTGAAAGCCTAAATCAGAAGGAAGGAGATTCTGTTAAAGTTCTGTCATTTAGAGAGTTGTTCTCTGACCCTGGACACAGACTAGCTCTGGTTATCGGGATGGGATTGCATGCTGCCCAGCAGTTAAGTGCTATCAATGCTGTCCTAAGCTATACTCCCAGCATCTTCGCTGAAGCAAACGTTGGTAGCCCCCTTACAGCAACTATAGCAACAGGAATTGTCAACGTTCTGACTGCAGCGATTGCAGCTCCACTCACAGACAAATTTGGACGACGTCTCATGATGTTGATGGGTCTTCTGGCCATGACAGTTGCGTACTGTGGTCTAGCTATCACCCAGTCCTGTACAGCTGCCTGGAGTTGTGGAGGGGAGTGGAGCGAATATGTTGCTATAGCCTCCGTATTCCTCTTCATCATCGGGTTCGCTGGTAGTGCTGGATCTATCCCTTGGCTGATGGTCGGGGAGTTGTTTGTCGTTGAAGCTCGAGGCAAAGCTAGTAGTGTCTGTATAGGGGTGAACTGGATTTGTAGTCTGATTAGTCTACTGACATACGACACGATACAAAGTTCTCTCTACCCTCATGCTTTCTTCCTCTACATGGCCGTTGTCCTGGTTTCCTTTCTGTTCGTGTTTCTGTTCATGCCGGAAACAAGACTCAAATCTGTTGAGCATATTAGAAAGGAGATAAGGGACCAAGCTGATAAAGTTCCATCGTTTGTTTTCTGAGCGTTTGGGACTCATGACGTTTGGGCTGATGTAATAAAATGGTCTGTATCGACAATTGCTGATTGAACTACTTTATAGTGTTGTGCTATTGCATGGACGTTTTAAATTTTGATAAAGGAGGGACACCAAAAATAAAATACAAATTGTAATGTAGCACCCAAACTCTTGAGTCTTGTGGTAAATTCATTCTGGTGTTACAATTGTGACACAGGAGTTTGGGTGCTACATTATAATCGACATTACAATTGACATTAATATGATTACAATCAAAACTTGATGGCGAGGTCTCTACCCTTTATCTTGGTCCTGTACAATTGGTCAAAACTCATATTTAATATTGTTTTATTTTTGTAGTTCCTTTTCTACAGGACCAAGATAAAAGGTAAAGACCTTACGTTTTTATCAAGTATTAACTCGACAAATATGAAATTATTATCCAATGATTATTATTGTTTTCATAGTTAACAAAATTAATTCCCCGAAATAAATTACTCAAACGCGATCCTTATTCCTCAGCAAGAATATTGCTCGTCTTCATATTATTTGGAGGGCTTCGGCAAAATTATAAAATATTCAATTTAATTAATTTTGTGGGACTTCTAACAAGGGAAATTTTCTTCTCTAATTGAAAACTCGAAGTACAACTTCTGTAGTACTATAGAGTGCGATGTCTTCATGTACCTTTAGCCTAGTAAACCCAGTGGATATCCTTGCTGTACGGCTAGTTAAACATGGAGCTGGAAGGCTCCGGACAGACCGACCTACAATTGAATCGTACTTAAAAGTCAGATCTAGATTAAATCCCTAGTCTGGTGGGATTTGCTTGAAGGCGGTTCTGCCGCCTTGCTGCTCACATAAAGACTAAAAATCTGACAATGAAGAAAGAGTAATGTGTTGTGAGACTTCAAACACAGGGAAATTTCTTCCCTAATTGTCAACAATAAGTACAACTTCTGCTCTGTCGTGTTAGTACCTGGCTTGGTGAACCGGGTAGATATCCTAGCTATACGGCTGCAGGCCAGTTAAACAAGGGTTTCAAGTTGGCAGGCTCCGGGCAGACCGGCTCTCAGCCAAATCGTACTTAAAACCCTGATCTAGAATCTAGATGTGCAGATCATTCAAAATACACGCATCTTATTTTTTTCCTTATATTTTAATAATTTTATAGACTTAAAATTCAACATTTTATAGACTTAAGAAGTAGCAGGGAGTGGTGCGGTGAAGAAGTGCAAGTTAGCTGTGAAACTTAATAGTGATCTATTATTCATTAGTCTCATTGCTACACTTGGTCTAGCCCGCGCTGAAAAGAAAAACCTCAAATTTCAAATAAATTCAGTAATCTTGAGTCTGGTAATTTAATGCACTAGAAATTTTGTGATTTCACCGCGATGAGTGTTAACACAGTGATTAGTGGTGGGGTTCATTGATAACGAAAACCCTAATTGTTTATTGCGTGAGGGAGGCGATGAAACCCACCATGCACTCGGTGTTAGCTTCGATAAGGGGGAGTTTTGGAGCTGAAGGTTTCACTGTACCTAGTAGAGAGGTGACAGGTGAAGAGGTGACAGGTTTACGGTCTGTTTTTGTCTGATGGTGTCTGAATGTCTCGTTTTATGGTTCTCTCCCCGTGTGCTTAGTAAACTAGGGGGATGGCAGTCAAGGCACTAGACGCTTTCTTCTCCCGGGTCTCAGGTAACAGCCCCTCTAGCTGAATCTAAAGTATAAAAAATAGACGCGAAGCTGTATTCAAAACTGTCACTGTTGAAGGTCCTTGCTGAAAGGATGGCATCGAGTTGAAACACCTGTATGTGATATCGATAATGATCATATATCCCGATATATCCATTATTCAAGTAGCGGTAGTAATGAAAATTCCTCGACCTGGTATATTAATATACTGTATAAGTACTACGGATGCTAACATTGGTAAATGGGCCATAATTCATAGTGATAAAAGATCAGGGTATTCAACATTAACTCCGCTGGCGCCATTCAGTGGCGTAATGACTACAGATGTTGCCAACAACGAGAATCCGGATATATCATTACATTTTTCTATTTCTGACGTACTGCGTCCCTTCAATACATCTTGAGTTTTATCAAATGCACTTCTAGCATAAATTTATATGAATATGAGAGAGAGAGAGAGAGAGAGAGAGAGAGAGAGAGAGAGAGAGAACTGAGTTATCAGGCGACCTCTGGCTGTACTGCTAGTTTATCCGGTTACAAAACAATTGGTAAGAGATTCAGATAATAAATGTAATATTCAATCATTTAAAATCCCATGAATTCTGCCAGAATCGAGACTGCATACCCTGCTACATAACTACATGAATATATCCACACTGTATCCTCTCCATCACTACTCTCCACGACCTTTAAACCGACAACACACAGTCGCAGGTAGTCTAGGCGAATCGATTCCTTACATCGTCTCTCACTAATAAATATCGAGAACACTTATAACTCACACTCGGTCGGGAATATCCCCGCTTGTTAGACTCTGCCACACGTTTGTCTGGCAGGTCAATTCACACCCTCCCTCGGAGACTACGGTCATGCTCCGCTAGACGACACGACCCACATCAAAATTAGTGTTCTGGGTAAATTTATCCAGCTTCTCCAGATGCAGGGGGGTTAAAATTTAGCAGCCAGCGTTAATTTGGGCATGCTTCACGTTTTATGAATGCCGATTTCGATTAACTTCTACGGAAACATTCTGACATTATATTCCCATAAAAAGATGCGCATTTGTGTGGATCTGGAGCGTCACGTCTAGATGCGAGCCTGCTCTGCTGCAGCTTCACTCGGATTGCATTATTAACAGCCGTCAGATAGGCCACCGTAGGGTTGTTGACACGTTTCGGTTGACAAGTTGAGAAACTGGTTACCAGGACAACAGTGTTATAATGAGAATATCTGGTTGTGAAATGCAGATCTTCACAGGATGAGGGTGAAATGTACCATTTGTGGTGGTTAGATGTGACTTTAATGAACACCATGTTACATGTGTTAGCGCGGGCCATAAAATTCTCAGCAAAAAGTTTTGGGTTTTCACATCTTCTTGATGTATGAGTTCGCTTTTGCCGTCACCAGTTATTTAGCTCAAATTAGGTCAAATTTATGCTCTGTTTGTATCATTATGATGGATCAACCAAAACCAATTTATAGGCAGTTCTAAACTACGGATAATGGAGGGACTTGCTTTACTCTTACACACATTACCTAACAGTGTTAAATTAGGATAAAAGGACAATAATGAAACTTAAATGGATCTGGCAAAAGAAGGTGTTATTGTGTCAATAACACAGTCTCGCAGTACGACTGCCCTATTATCATTATATATCAATCAAGATCATGAAACTAAAACTAGTTATCTAGAAATTATAACTAGTTCTACTTCTAGACAACGGCTGATGATCAGTGGACGCAAATTTAGCCGAATCAACACCCAATCAATCAAAATCCAATTTAAAGTTCCACTTTTGTCGCTTTACCTGATTTATTATAAGTCCCAGCGGAACTAACGAACACAGACACTGTGCTCATTAGTTCATTGCTACATAACGGCTCATCACGGCAGGACTACATGATGGCAACAAAGTTCCATTATCTATCATGTTACCATTGTGTCCTACTACTCCTACTAACGAGTCATTCAGTCATCTGTCATGATTTAAATTGTTATGATAGTCACACTATTATAATGGTAATTTCCTTAATAGCGGTTGTACTGGTGAGTGCAAGGGTGGGTACTTGTCTTAATGATGATTTGGGTTGGCCCATTCTTCTAACTTGAGACAGGGAGACTGAGAGGCTGAATGCTCCTCATTAATGGCACCAGTCAGTGTTCCAGAAAATTAGAAATCTTTTGTACTCAATTATCAGAACTTCAACTAGTGAGGAGCCAATGCCCTGTACCAATTATAAATTCACTGCGTTACAACTCCGTGTATCTTTGCGGCTTTAGATATAATGATTGACACCGAAATGATTGGTCTAAATTATTCTCATAATTATCTCAAAGTAAACGTTAGAGTGCAGTGCCCGACACAAGCCAAAAGGAAGATTGCCGAAGAACCCGAAGACAAAAGAAAGAAGAAGAAAGACCGAAGGTGGGTGTAACGCGGACTTGCCGACTAAAAATTTGACTGGCAGTTAGGGAGAAGCAAGAATCTTGCAGCCCTTACTCCTGTCCAATGTCAAGAGTCAATCACCAATAAAACTTTGTACCTGGTTCTTTGAGAACAATTTTTACAGGTTTGACCCCTTGAAATAGAAACAAGACATATTAGAATTCTTCTAATTCCGTTTATATCTCGGTAAATGACTAGCTTGAGTACCGAAGCCTCATCACCGGCCACATCACTATCATTATGCACCCAAATCCCGTCGTTAAGCCAGACTCCGAAAAGCTGCCAAGAACCCGGCCAGGTCCCTCGAAAACCATCGCACGGGTCACGGCTAATGGAATCTCGTTCACAGCCCCCCAGATAACTAGGATGGACGTCTGGGTTAACAGATAAAGTTCTTTGTTCCACATAGCACTGACAAGTGCATATTACAGACGCTCCACCGTCACTTCATTTCACCACGTAGAACGCTTAAAAAGCCTTGAGAATTATGAATTATTTGAATACATAAAAAGACAGCATTCGTCGCGGTGGACTGATGACAATTTTAGACACGGTATTTGTTCTATCAGTGACATTGATTTTGGACGAATCAAAATTTGGGGAGACTTGTCGTAGAGATAAAATTTTACGATGAAGTAACTGTAACGGTGACTGTCTTGTTTTCGCTTCATAGTCTAAATACTGTTAGCTGTACATTATGAGCTTATGAGTTGTGTCCTGCGGATGAATTAGACGTAAACTGTGGCGATTCTGGGGCTACCACCACCAAAATTTCAAAGACTGAAGACTGCAAATAAAGCACAAAGTTAATTGACTAAGTACCTTGAGAGTAGAATCATGATTTTGGAGCTAAGATTTTGAGTATCCAGTTCCGAAAGGCAGCTGACAGTAGGCCGTGTCCGCAGGTTCAGACCAGTCTAGACTGTACAGACACTTATAATTCAACGGGCTGCTCCAATCGTAATTAATCGTCTCGCCCCACGTGATCCCATCACGTGATGAGACACGTGATGTCTAACGCCTCAGTGGTCTGAGAGCTGGACTGATCACGCGCGCGCGCCGCACCAACCAGACACCTTCAAATCGTCACGCGGCGCGCACACGTGACATATAACTGTTCAATGACAACGCTGTCTGTTGCAATGGACAGCGCGCTCTTCCCTTCCATTCTCTTGCAGTTCTTTCGTGATTTGTATCGATTTACTAAATGTTCCAATGAACAGCGCGGGTTTATGTTTAGAACCAGAAAATCGACTTTGATCAAAAAGTTGCTGTCGCTTCAAGAATCGTCAGCCAAAAACACCTACGATCCAACATCTCAAGTAAGATTTTACGCTACTTGCTTACGTTCAATGCGTTTCAACACTTGCATTGCCACTCGTTCATTTGCATATGCCAGCTGTAGCTCAGGGATAAAGACTTGCAAATGGATTGTTAAGACTTTGTTGCAGATCTCCTCGAGCAATGACTTTGGATATGCCTCTTGGAAACCGTGCCGAAATTTTGAAGTGTCTAGGAAATTTGTTTTTCGAAATTCGATGCCAATCTCTGTTTAAGCTGATCAAATTAGAAACTTTTACGTTCAGTCAATTTCTTCTTGCCGACCAGTACAGAATTTGATTCCCTTAAATCGCCATGAACTCGAGCAGGTCGCTAGTTTATATTACCACGTTTGCTAATGCTATTATGTGTTAGAGAGAGAATTGCTGCTGCCCTGCGAATGAACTTTCTATCGGCCTCCTTTGACAGAAAATACCGCCTGACCGGCGGGCAGTTCTACGCTACTCACTGTTACACACTATTGATTTACTGTAATTGCAAGCTCGGCCGCGGACTCAGTTACATATCACTATATAATAAAACGACTGTATAATATACACTGAGAATTTAATATATTTGTATTCCTTTAAGTTCTGTCTTGTCAAGTACACGGATTTTCTTTACCAACGCATACATGCCTGATTTATTCAGCAAAACTGACATTGACATTTTCATATGTACCAGATTACAATGCTCAATTTCTTGTACCATGAGCTCCTAACGTTCTCATCAGAGTCCTGTAGTTTACTGGATAAATATATCCGCTCCGACTGCCTCCTTGCAAGAGACAACATATCACCCTCTAGTTATCATCGTCCACATATTTAAGTACAATTATATGTTACGGTATGTGTATAGTTAATGGGCTAATCACAGTTCGTACCACAACATGCCAAGTACTGAACCGCTATACTGTAACTCCAACTCTAGACTGCTGGCTGAAGAGTCCAGGCTCCAGACGCTGGACCTGACTCCGACTGAAACTCGATCTCTGCTCTCATCACTACACGACCTGCTCCGTGTACACAAGTCTGTCTCCTTGTATAACAGCCCTTCTCAAAAATGTACACGTTATAATCGAGATCCGATCAGCGGTTTGCAATAGACAGGTTCCTGATCTCTGGCAGGCTGCTTTCACTGGCCATAATACGTGACAGGCTCTCTGCTCTGTTTAGTAATTAGTATATTCTGTGATAAAGCCATGTAAATGTTTAGAATACGCACTAAGATAAGGTAATTGTACTATGTCTACTGCAAGGTCTAGAAAGTCGGCATAAATGTGGCAGATATATCCGGTCCTAAAGGACATGTGATAATCCAACAGGGAGCCAGTTTCTGACCACATAATTTGTATTCAATGTGTACGTCTAAGTGCTAATAATTATTGGCTCGATCTAGAATATTTTTTGTCTGCTGGCCCAGTCTCGATTGGAAGGATTTCAAGGGTTCTGTAGGCTTGTATGCGCTGCAGAAAGGTGCTGTCATGATGCGTGCACTGAACCCGGGACATTTATTTTCAGACCAAATTCTTGAAAACTTCCATATAGATAAGATTTAAACCAATTCTGAGGAACCCTCTCACGCTCATAGTTCCACGACACTGGCGTGTATTGTGCCAGGTACAATAGTTGCATGTATGCGATATGTGTTGTAGTGGTAGTGGTGTACCTAACAGAGAGGGACAGAGCCCCGGTGGTGATGAGAGGCTGAGGATCTGGAGCGTGTCTAAGTGTATTGAGTGTTAATATGCCCTGTCAGGACCTCTCCGACGGGGGGACCTTATAATCTGGCCCGGTTGTTACTGGAGACTGAGCTGCGTTCGCTGCTCTAGTTATGCGAGACATATGACCGGAGGCCGGGTATGAATAGTTGGGTCATTAGTCCCCCCAAATCTAATTCTCGATCTAACTTGCTGAGTACCGAGCAGGCCCGGCTCCATCTGGTTGTCCGGGTTACACCCACGTGTACTCCGCACACCTACTCGACAATTTCACGTGTTGTTCACACTCGAACTTCCCTTCCCCCTACATTCTGACAGTCACAAGTGTTATAACCGGTCGCATTAACTGGACTGTGAGTCGAGAGCCGGCGCCACACTAGCCGCCGGCTCATTTCCGAGACAGTTCCAGGGTGCCCACCAGGCTCGGCTTGCCGGATGGTCGGCGAGCACTTCTGCAGCTTTCTGTTTAAAACGAGGAGGTCGACCCGTAAATTGCAATATCCGGAGAGAAGAATAAAAGGGGCGCCTGTGGTCGGCAGTCCACTACAGAATAAAGTCTAGGCTAACAGTCCTAGTCTAAGAGTCAATGACTTATACTCGCTGATAACGATAAACTCCCGAGATTACATATCAATATCCGATCCTAGATTGTTAGTCGCGATGTGAAGTTATACCTTGGAATGCATAAAACAAAACATGGACCCCCACTACACAGGTGTGTCTGTTCAAGAAAAAGGAAGATTTCACTCACGTTTTTGGGTCTCCCATCCCGACCCAAGATGTGTATCTGTGTGCCATCACAGTTCCAGCCACCAGCTGCTCAACATTAGACCTCCATTAAGCCACAGTAATCCCTACTCAAAGCGGGCCAGGTGTTGTACTGCCCGTATCCCTCTTGTTCTAGAGTCGGAACCTTGTTTGAGTCTCAGTGCACGGTAAATTAGGTGACTGCTATAATTGAGGGCTCATTAGGCTGCTGACCAGGCTGACCTGTACTCTTTATTCATCTCCAGTACCAACCAGGTACCATGTTCCACCATACATCAGGCTGACCTGTACTCTTTATTCATCTCCAGTACCAACCAGGTACCATGTTCCACCATACATCAGTGGTAGACTGGTTTGTGGGTGTGTGTGTGTGTGTGTGTGTACCTGCTCACTTTACCCACCCGGGCACCTCTCAATACTCAACTAATTGAATTTTACTTGAGTGATAACAATTACAAGACCACAGACCCATTTATACTGATTGGGAGAGAGCTACCTCCCATTCTCCAATTACTCATCATTGTTACACGTGTGGATAACAATAGTAGTACTCAGGTACCTGGTATCCACGTGAACTAACCCGGGGAGTACTGCTCTTTGAAGTTCCGTGTCCTGTTTCCAGATACGTATCTACTGAATGTATTCAACTGGCCGGTTCCCGATACCATCATTACCCGGCGTCGGACAGGCGGGTGACTGTGCAACCTCCCTATTAGTGTGTGTGTAATATTCATCACCTTTTCTAGTGTGTATACTTCCACCATATTTGAGTCTGAAACTCGAGGCAGGCAAATGTAGACTGTGAATGGGGAGTTGTGATTGGTTTTCAGTTAAATTGCGGTCTGCTCATTGGTCTATTGAGGGAGCACAATTGAGTGGGTATAATGTTGCTTCAACTATGAGATAATCACGTGGCCCGCCCTATATCTAAATTCTTACACTATTCCCACTGTGTGCAATGAGGCATGGCGATTCATACTGTTGTTCCAGGCGGTGTGACGTCATAATACCATTTGCTGTTCTGCCCTGTCACGTGGTATGTGACCTGTCACGTGGTATGTGACCCCAACAATCGGCACATCTTGTCCAGCTACCGGATGACCCTGCTCACGAGAAGACCAGAAGATTTACCGCTTCTCTTTTCTGGATCGCCTTTAATTAAAGTAGGAGACATTCATTTATCATTTTAAGGATGAGTTTGAATGAGGCTGGCTAAATTGGGCCTTCTAGCGAATTCCTGGGAGTGTGAAAGCTGTGAAGCGTTGCTACACAGTAACCGACTCGTACAGACTCTCTCTACCTTTCAAATTCAGTCGTAATTCGTGTAAATTTTACATAAAATAGGATATGCGGGGTGTCCCTTGCCGGGAGCACATCTGAGAAGGTTCCAAAAACACGGACGTGTCAACTCGTTCTCTTTTTCTGGTGAGGTAGAGGAATTGAAATAGTCGGGGAGCGTATAATTTGCAGTGTTACATTTTGTCATTATATTTCACATACAGGGTAATTAGGAAGGGGTATGAGTGTTTTGAGACCCAAGTTAAAAAGTTGGCGGCTGCCAGAAAGCCCCAGAGAAAACACACTTTTCACCGTGCATATCTCTCCGCACAGCTATCTAGATAAAGAAGCATGTAAGCTGGTAGTTTTGTACAGGTATTCATGAATATGATATAATATTCAATTATCTGGCCTGGTCTCTGTTTAAGAACACTAGAATGATTGTTGTGCATGCAATTGAATCTATGTTCTGAGTGTAAGTGTGGTGGTGGAGTGAGATGTGTTCTGCGGTTAGTCCTTATCCTTGCTCAGTGGTTCAGCAGCTTTATCCTGCAGGCTAATATCTCGGCCTGCTCACGCTAGAATGAGCTCCAGAACTCCATGAGGATCTCTATTATGAGGCTCCATTAGGGGGGATACGCTCAGCTGGAGTTGCTGGCAACTGTACAATTACAAACTCTATATTAACTTTAATCACTGTTTAAACTATAGCGGCGTAGTAGCTAAACAGTGAACATGGATCTACTGTGCCGCATACTTTACATCTACATTTATTCATCTGTGGTCTATACAGTTTACAAGTACAGCTATTTCGACGAATGGCATCTCCTGAAATTAGGGTCAACAAGACGTTTTTAAATCAACATCCTAGTCTGGTCCCTCTTATTGACTGATGATGGGACCACAGATCCATCTCAGCCAGCTCGGTCTATGATAGGGGGCGTTTAAACGGTCCCCCAGGTGTTTGTGCAGCTGTCGCCCTACTTTCTGATCTGATAAGCTCTAGATTCTAGAACACGTCGATCTAGCCTCCCTCCCTCCCTCCCTTCCTCCCTTCCTAGTGCAGTGCTAAAACATAGCTCACCCTGTCCTGGAATGTTTGCTCTCTAATTACAGTAATACGATTACTGAATTTTGCAGTCTCGCTTTTGAAGAAGCAATAAAGCATTGCGAGTGAGTCTGGTCAGGTTGAACGGGAAGGGAGAGAGCGGCCCACTTTGCGACTTGTTCTTCAGA